ACCTGTACAAGGTGGAGCATTGGGAGGGGCCTAAGAATTGTATGTGACAAACGGGTGCTTCCTATAGGTATTCTTTCTTGCATCCTAATGTATAGTATACCTACCTTTTACGACCGCGGAATCTTTTTCCATGACTAGATTGGCTCTCTCACTTTTCTCCTGTCCATGCTTTTCCAAATATTTCACATCTGATGTTCTGCTTCCGCTTGTCTATATCACGGTGCGCACTGCCCATGGAGCTTCAGATGAACCAGTTTACTTTTAGCGGTGCATTCCACAATAGCGGCTCTCACATTTTTTTCACATGTTTTAAAATATGCATATTTTGATGTACTGGTTGCAGTAACAGAGCTGAATCACTCGTTGTATGCTACTTCATATTTGCATATCCCCTTTCTTACAAGCTACCATAGGGGCGTGCATCATGCTATAAGTTTATACTACAATAATTACTCCCAGATTGAATTTTGTGTCCACTATAGAATCTTCAAAAAAGAAGTCTAAGAAAAACTAAACGGTCATCTTAATGGGACTTAATATATCCAAAAAGCGCATGACTCAAGTTCCATTACTTACATTTAACATCTCACTTGCTGCACTCATCTTCTGTTTAGCTCTGCTTTTCCATCTAGCTTCACTTAGCATTTTATTCTGATCGCAATCTATGCTGTTCAAGCATGATTATCTCCTACATAAACATGCTCCATTACATGCTTTTACAAAACTGAATCAAAATAAACTAACTTCATTTAAGAAATTGTTTTCACACTGACAGGAGACATGTAACTCAGAGCATTTCATTTCCATCCACTGCTCTGTATCTTCGCCTTTCATGTTACAATTAAATTCATCCACTGCAGTATTAACTATTTTCCCTTACCACAGAAAAGAAATGGCAAGGAAACAGAGGGCGCAGGACTACTAGAGGCAAAGACAGACGGACGCGGTCGGAGCAGTATGGCAGCGTCGATGGGGATGGAGGAGCGCACAGAGATGCTGCGGAGCACTGCTGATGAGCTTGTCGGCAGGACGAGCTGCACTCACTGCTGCACGGCAACCCCGGCCCGGTCTGCTTCGACAGGTTTGAGCCCTCCGTCACCGACCGCGTGCACATCTAGCAGGTCAATAATAAATTAATAATTTTCCAACTCTCAACTTCCCAGCCGGCCAAGTTTCTCTTGCCGCAAATTTCTTTGTTTCTACCACATCAGAATGGCTGACACACGTCCTTGCCTTCTCGTCGTTTGTTTCTACCAAATTGTAAGGGTGTTGGGAAGGTGATCAATGTGAACAAGATGGTCAGGGCCAGATATAGAGTAAAAATCCTAATAGCGGACCAGAGGACCGGAGTGAAGGACTCGGCAAGATAAGGACGTCGGTCGCCAATTCACTGTGATTGAGATCCGCGTCGTAACCAGAGAGCAGTTGGACCATGACAAGGACGTCGCCATCGGCTAATCCGCCATGTGGGATTATTGTTTGACCTTTCACAGTTCCTCCAGGTGTCCATAACATCAAGCATAATTTTGATGTTTCTTAACCTTTTGCATTCTACTCTAATCAGTTAAGTTAGGCCTATAACCGAGAAGTTTTTCTTATACTATTAGTTATGAATTTTGTTTTGTTATCTTCCTGATTCGATGTGATTAGCACAATACTAAATTTGCCGGCTACTAATTGATACTTATGTGTGATACTTTTAGTGTGTGCTGACAGATTAATCTAAAGCATCAAGATCTGTAAGTGCTCGTGGGTCCTCAAGGTGCTGGTTCGTGAGCTCAGTTTGTTTGGGACATCGAAGGTTATCTTGGGCGATGTGCATCAACAAAGAAGTTTACAATTGCGTAAGTGCCCACTAGCGCTGGATCTAGAATGCTTCCACTATCAGATCTCTAAAATTTTGGAACCAGTGAGTATAGCCCATTATTGTCATAACCATGATATCGAAATTGATACCTAGCTCATGTGTGTGCATCATACATATCGAATGCATCTTGAGAATGGGCAGTGCATCTTTTCCATTGAATAGAAGTTATATTTCTATGATAAGGATGCTCCATTTTGTTGTTGTTCTCCTGCATAGCTATATGTTAGCAGGGCGTACTCTATGGAAGTTCATGTTTTTGGTATTGCGATGGATATTTAGATATTTGCCCCTCCAACTACTGGAAAGAATTAACAAAATTATGTCATTGCAATCTAGCTTTATATAAAAGTTGATCAGGATATGCACATATCTATGTGTTTAACTAATTTAATCCATAAATTTGTTTTTTTACTAGAGAACATCTCTTTTTGTACAATCCCAAAGATCTGCTCATATATCAAGTGTGTTTCTTTATTGTTTTCGTGCAGAATGAGATTGTTTTGAGGACAAATCTACCGACCGAGGAGCACGCTAGCCAGGTATACACAGGAGAAGTGTATGAACTGTCTGTGCAAACCATATGTGAATCTGAACCCTTCTTAGTGGAGGCAGTAATTGCCAACTTGAAATACATAGCACCGCATCCCAACAGTAAAACCAGGGAAAAATGATCTAGGTTGGAATATGGGGTCAATGCTAGAGAAGACGGTGAAGCATTCATGTGCATGTGCAAGGAGCAGGAGATCCTGTGTTGCCATGCCGTCAAGGTAACATTTTGTTGGTCCTACTATATCTGCATACTTACTGTTAGCTGCTATATGTACATACAACCTTCAATACTTTCCAGCTTCAATTTTGTCAGGTGATGATCCACCTGGGTGTGCGTGAGATACCAAGGTTACATGTTGTGCCACCAAGTTGCCACAGAGCCCTGGTGAATCGCAGATGGATAGTGAGCTATGAAAGCACTCCGTGATGCATGTTAAGTTCTGAGACCTGGCGCATGACCCTTGTGATGATGAAGGGTCCTGGGCCTACAAAGTTGTCATGAAGGGCCTCGACAGACTGAACCCAGACCTAGCCGCGCCAAACGCCGTGCCCCGCCGCTACAACAAGCCAACATTACGGTAGCCGAGGATCCTCATTTATTCCAAAAGGTGCCGAATATGGTTGACTAACTCCAGTCCATGAGGAAGTGAGTTCAATGTTGTATTCTTGTTTGTTACGAGTGTGATTACCTTTTTCTATTTGGCTTTCTATACCATTAAAAGCCATGCTATTCCTACCATAACTTACTGAAATCTTTTATGAGAAACTTTTTATGAATTATTTTCAGTATTTATACTTGTTGTAGGTAAAGGACATATATTCAACTTACTATGTCTATTACGAACAGAGTTCCCTGGAAATGTGTCAAAACAAATAGCTGATAACCAGCAATTTTCCACCAATGGAAGCCCCGTGTGATTTAGGTACCATTTGCTCTCTTGGATTTTGTTATTTAGCCATGTCATGTTAAATATTACGCGGCTTGCTAATGTTATATATTTAGTCGCTTATATGATGTCTGTTTGGTCGTTGCTCTAGCCTCAGACCCAAGAAATTTGTTTGTTTGTCCATTTGACCAAAATAATCTGTGTTGCTTTAAAGTCCAGTAAACAAAGAAACAACTTCGATGCATGTATATGCCTTTCAGTTTCACTTGCATCCAATAAATATAATTATGACACTTGTTGTCTTGCTGTGTTGTTCAATTATCGCCAGGATGTTAACAAGCCCATTATATATCCTTGGTAAACCACATGATACTGTTTCCTAATCACATGTTTTTCCTACACAAACTATACGAGTTTTATGCAAAGGTATCATCTAAAAGGAATTATGGGCTTCATATATGCTCCAGTATCATAGTATTTTTCCATGGTTCATGGCAATAATTTCTCTACTTGGGATTCCATAGAATTCTTTTGGTCTGCATAGTTTTGTTTTTACAGTTGAAAAAAACTAATAAATTAACAAGACCTTTTATGCATAATTATGTTGCCATGATATGCATAATTATGGTAGTTAGCATAGTGACTTTGACACTTTTTAGATATGCTCCAACCTTGAGTTTACTCAATCTCGCATTAGCCTATTGTGTTTGAAATTTGCTTACATGAAAACAGATGTTGAATTTTCCTTTGATTTATCATTTGTCAGTTTTTATCTTTTTGATATTTGCATGGGATGGATTTGAACTTCACTCTTGCTAAAGCCCTGTATGCGAGTTTGTTTGAGTTACTTGTAGAACAAATTAACAAGGCCTTCTTAGTTGGCAAGCGTCGAGTTGGGTGGTCAATCAGTTTCCCCCTGCATCTGCGAAGTGGCAGAAGAAGGCTACGATGGATGTGCTCAGGGCGTTGCCATCTCCATCCCCGCACCATCTTTGTCACATGCAGCATCTGACTTACCTCCTCAAGGCAGGAGTGGCTCTTCAAGGAGAATGAGATTGAGGATGGAGGCACTGAACCCGCATGCATGATGACGATGCATAAAAGTCACGTCGGCGGCTCCTGCGGGTTGACGTTGGCCGCCAACAATGACGAGGTCGGCGGCTTTGATGTGGGGGTCATCGACCTTACCTCTGACGGGAATTAGTAATCTTTTTCTTTGGTTTTTAGTTATTATTATGCTCGGTGTCCCGCTTCTGCGTTGTAAAAATAAAGTGGGAATTAGTAATCTTTTTCTTTGGTTTTTAGTTATTATTATGCTCGGTGTCCCGCTTCTGCGTTGTAAAAATAAAGTGCGTGTCCACTTTGATAAATACGGATGTCCACGGACTTAGTTGGTGGTATCAGTTTGGTGATCCATGTTGAAGATGCCCTAATCTCCTTGTATTTAAGTGTCATTTAGTATTTAGCTCTTCTGAAATTTGTAAAGCAACTTCTTACTTTCATGTCATGTCCATGTGTTAACAAGATAGCAAAAAAGCAATTGGCATGGGCGGCTACCAACCTAGCACCGCCCAGCTTTCACTTAGGAGACGTCACCGGGTGGCGTCCCAACCCCTAGTATATACAAAGCTACACAGCTTACACGGTGCCGCATTTCGCTTGGTTTTATGGTGATGGCATACTGCATAGAGCATTTTTTAATAAGCCTCCACACCAGCAGATCTGCAGTCGACGTCGAACCACACCTCGTTGACACGGCCGACGATGCGGAAGGGGCTGTTGTACTGTGCGATGGAGTAGGCGTTCTTGCTAGGGTGATTCGTGGAGTTCCCCCACGGTGACCGGCTCAAGCTCAAGGCGAGTTTCTCAGCTTCCTCGACGACATTGTGGTCGCGTGCGTAGCCTGAGAAGCTCCTGACGGCGACGCAGTGGCCTGGCCACCTATCTGGATGTAGGTTCAGCTCCGGGAGAGGGACAGGAGGGGAAGCTTGGAACTCTAATGGCAAGTAGAGCCGGACAAAGTAGGCCGAAGAGTGGAGAGGCCCCGCGCCTGGGACGATGCTTGTTAGGATAGGGGTCGTCATTCTGATCCTGGAAGAGTTGAGGTTTGCGCCCATCAGGTATTGGAACAACCTGGCAGAAATCAGTGACGACATTAAAGGTTCAGGGTCACTGAATATGATAATAGGGTTTGGACCAAGTGGGTAAATTCATGAGACAGGAAACTTTCAGAATGGGCAATGGAAAGCAAACTCGAAAGCAAATCCTGGACAAACATCAATATACTTGATTCATGTAACTGAATGTGCACAATGGAGAGCAAATTATGGACAAACATCAATATACTTGATTCATGTAACTAAATGTGCACAATGGAGAGCAAATTATGGACAAACATCAATATACTTGATTCATGTAACTAAATGTGCACATAGTAAATTACCTGGAAGGCTGGAAATTAAAATAACTCCCCCACAAACAAAAGTGTCAAAATAACTTGCAGATTGTGATGCCGTCATAAGTTCACATGCCGCTGTTGAGCAATTACCTCATGCAATGAAATTTTGTATTTCACGAGCTAGCAAAGTTGATATATCGCATCAGTTGAACTTTTGCAAGACCTAGGTGGAAACAACACTTGGGATCGATCCGATTATTTGGGCCCTTTGAGTTATCAATTTCACAAATCAAAAGATCCGTTATACATCAAGAATTATTCGCAGATGGAGGCAAAGATCTTAATATCAGTTCCTGGAATTAAGAAATGCCTCTAACGTATGGCTAAATGAAACAGGGCAGTGCAGAATCATTGAATTGTTCGTGTTGATGCAGACTACGGCCCTGGACGGGTAGCAGTAAACATAAAATATGTATTTGGACCTATCACAATTCAGATAGCCTAGTTATTTGGGAGTCTGGTCTGTTTCATAAGTGCAGTGTCAAAAACGCTCTTATATTATGGGACGGAGGAAGTACATCAGAGCGGCAAAGTCAGATTATAGATGTACTAACATATCTTGTATCAGGTCAGAAATGGATTATGTTTGTTTAATTTTGCAACGAGAATGGTTAACTCTTGTCTATATTCGAGGTGATTCACAACCGAGGTTCGATCATTCTCATAGAGTAATGGCTGATCCTACATTTCCTTGTGCTACAGATTCTCCTGCCAACTTGCAGAATTGTGCACGGCAACACACTCTACTCAGGATGACATGCTTCTCAACTCACATGTCTCAGCTGAGAAGATGTACTAGCATCCTGATGAAAGGCAAACGGGACAGCGACCCCCTAACTTGCTCATCAATTTCTTCCACAAGTCATCCACTGCTTACCCGACCCAACCCTAAACCAAGAATCGACACGCCAACGGAACAAATCGAAGGACGGTAATAATCACAAAAAATAAAAAGAACGCGAGGATTACAAATCGACAGCCCCTAAATCGAAGGATGATAGGATTGCATCTGGTGACAGACTGCGGAGGATGATAGGATTGCATCCAGAGGACGGCGTGCTTACAGGAATCGATCAATCAGTCAATCAGGTGATTCCGTGACGATCCAAGCAAGATCGTGGGGGTGGTGAGAAGCGTATCACCTGTGGAAGCCGAGCTTGGTGGCGACGTGGAAAGAGGTGTCGTCGGAGGGGGCGGACATCCAGACGGTGTCGCGGTAGTGCCGCACCTCGAAGTCCGACTCCGCGTGCACCGTCGCGTACTGCGGCGACTCCGAGCCGCGGGCGTCCGGCGAGAGCAGCGCGAGGAGGAGGAGGACGGGGAGCAAGGGCACCGCCGGATGCTGCCGCTCCATGGTCTTCGCCTCGCCGGCAGCTGCGGCGTCAGTCTTCGCTCTCGCCTTGCCGAGACCAGGGGGAAACGGGCAGCGGATGCGCACAGTGTACTCCCTCCAAGACATACCTGGCCAAACGGGCCGGCCCGGCCTGGCCCATCTTAATCGTGCCTGGCCTGGCATGGCCCGCCAGGGCACTATTACTATACAGGCCGTACCGTGCCGGCCCGCGTGCTGCGCCCCCAGGCCCAGGCACGTTGGCCCGTTTAGCACGGTGGGCCGCATATTTTCAGCCTGTTATTTTGACGCACTGAGCGTTTTTAGCCTATTTTTACATGTTGGGCCATATACAGATGTATAAAAATAAATAAATAAACGTAATCGGGTCGTGCCTTGCCGGCCCGCGTGCCTGGCCTCCAGGCCCAGGCACGGCCCAGGGCGTGCCCCGTGCCGTGCCTGGCCCAAGACGGGACGTGCCGGCGTGCTCACGGACCGGCCCGAAAAAACGGCACATTTGGCCAGCTATACTCCAAGATGGAGAAATCAAGACTGTGTTCGGAAGAAATCACTCGGTTTAAAATGATATCCTCTTCTTTTTTGCATGAAAAGAGATTATAAATTGTGACCCACCACCACATACAACCATGCATGGAAAAATGTTCTCCATCTATCTACTTACCTGTATAAAAGAAAGAGAGAGGACAAATCCAAGCAATTATACTCGTCCATCTACAATATCCGATGGCCCTTAATCCTCCCGTGGTTAACACACCAAGCCACGCATTAAGTCACTATAATCCATCTATCATCCCTAGCATACGCCGCCGTTCAAAAAAAACCCACTCCCAGTGATGCACGCCCGCACGAC